GAAGCAGATAAGAGAGTAGTAGAAAGAGAGAGAGCAATTCAATTTCCAATTTAAAAGACACAGTCAGTCAGTCAAAGGAGACTCATCCCCATCACCCAATTGGTAGAGGACAATAGCTCCAGGCAAGGCAAACTGGGCATGCTCAGAAGGCCCCAGTAGGGAACAAATTAGAATGGGGCAGGCCCAGAGAAGCCCTGGATTTATATTCCATGTGTGTGTAGATGCATGTGTGCATACATGTGAGTATATGTGTATATACAGATATACACATAGATACATACACAAACACACATACATACATGCATATATACATTTACGTCTATAACCAAATATGTGCTTCAACTCCTTCTGTCCTGAATTTTGTGTCTAGGTGACAGGAAGCTATAAAAATAATCTGAGTTTATTCTCCTAGACTAATTAAGTGTTGAGGATGGTATGATTATCCCTCCGCCATTTTATTGGATTGTTTAATATATTAATATTTAAATTTATTAGTTAGGTTTATATTTTCCTCCATCTATCTCTAATTCTGTATATATACATTATACACACATGCATATGTATATAGATGTATGGTTGCATATACAGTGGTTACATGCACGTATATACACATTATCCATTATATACATACATACATATACATATGTGTGTATGAAATTAAAATTCTATATTTTGTACTCAACATGTTCTTCGCTGATTCTCTTTGGAAAATGAGAAAGATGGCACCCACCTGTAGTCTGTACTGCTTGGGTGCTTGAGACTGGTAGAGCTTGGGGCAGCGAGGTGGCCCAGTGGATAGAGCACCGGCCCTGGATTCAGGAGGACCTGAGTTCAAATTTGGCCTCAGACACATAACACTTACTAGCTGTGTGACCCTGGGCAAGTCACTTAACCCCCATCGCCCAACCAAAAAAAAAAAGAAAGAAAAGAAAAGAAAAAGAGACTGGTGGAGCTCAGCTCTCTCAAACTTCTAACTGCAGGTTGTACAGGCCTGGGTTAGAAGTTTGAGAGAGCTGAGTTCCAGTCCTGCCTAAGTCACTAATTTAGCTGTGTGACTTCATGCAAGTCATTTAACTTCCCCATGCATGCAGCCTGTAAAATATTGAATCAACAGGTGATTTCTAAAATCCCTTCTAGCTTTAAAGACTTCATTCTATAGATTCTATGACTTTATTCTATAGATATCAAAAAGACAAAAGACAACTTAAAATTCAATTAGAATTTCCCAAAGTTAATTTTGTGACCATCACACAAATACACTGAGTATGTTTTTTCTTTTGTTGTTGTTTTCAGTGGTGCCTGACTCTTCATGACCCCATTTGGGGTTTTCTTGGCAAAGATACTGGAGTGGTTTGCCACTTCCTTCTCCAGTTCATTTTACAGATGAGCAACTGAGGCAGACAGGGTTAAGTGACTTGCCCAGGGTCACACAGCTAATAAGTGTCTGAGGCCATATTTGAACTCAGGTCTTCCTGATTCCAGGCCTGGCACTCTATCCACTGTGCCACTTAGCTGCCTTATTTTTTAATTTAGGTAAGCCCTATTCATTCCCTTTAGCAGGTACATGAGATAAAGTGCTCCCCTTCTTTCTCAAGTTCTCATCATTTTCATGTTAGCGTACAGTTTCTCTGTTGAGAATCAGAATAGCCATCTTCTTCATTATCTCCTCCACTTTCTGAAGAATGAAATTTTGGTGAAGGCAATTCATTCAGCATTTTTGCTTTTGTCAAACAGCAAGCTCCAGCAGATATCAGGATAGCTATAGTCCCTCATCAACACATTACCACTCCTTGCCAGCTTTGTGATATTTCTCAAGCTCTTCATTTATGTCTTGTTTCTAGTCTGTGTTAAGCATACCAGCAGTCTCCAAACCCTTCTAGCTCTGTGTTAAGCATACCAGCAGTCTCCAAACCCTTTTTGAAATGTACACCTATTAATAAAAAAATTAGCATGGATCCCCCTCACCATCTACAGAAGAGTAGAGATCTTGGAATGTAATATTTCAGAAGGCAAAGGCCAGCCTCACAGCCAAGAATAACAAGCCAACAAAGTTGAGTATGATACAATGGGAGCATATGGGGTGGGATGGATCTTTAATGGAATAAAGAACTTCCTAAAATTCTTGATAAAGAGACTAGAACTGTGGAGAAATTTTGAAGTTCAAACACAAGAATTAAGAGCAACATAAAAAAGGTAAATATAAATGAATAATCATAAGGGATTAAGCAATGATAAACAATTTAAGTTCAAATATGAGGAGGGGTTACATGTGTACCCTCAGAACCCTAACTTATCAGAGGTTATAGAGGAAGTCTAATTAGACAGAAGGGCAAGAAATGAATCTATTATGTCTTGAAGATCTTAAAAGCAAAATGGAGAAGAGAGGGGAAGAGTAATATACTAGAGAGGAAAGGGAGAAGCAGATTAAAGGAAATTATCTCACATAATTGGGATGAACAAGTAGAAGTCTAAATGAGGAAGGTAGCAGTGACACTTGAACCTCACTTTCATTTGCACTGGTCAAAGGAGGGAAGAATACACACATACACATATACACAAATATACATGTACACATATGCACACACAGAGTTAGTTACAGTAATACATTTCACCCACCAGGGAAACAGAAGGGAAAGGGGAGAATGGTAAAGAGGGAATTAGTCCTAAGCGAAACAAACTCTAAGCGTATATAAAAATGTCAACACCTCTTTTGAGATAGCATAAAATGGGAATCTGAGGAGATGACCATGAATTGGGGGAATGTCTGAATAAGGCATGGCACATAAATGCAAAGAAATATTATTGTGCTGTAAGAAATTATGAATTGAATAGTTTCAGAGAAACCTAGGAACTCTCGCATGAACTGATGCAGAGTGAAGTAAGCCGAATCAGGAAAACATTTTTTTTTTTTTACAATGACAACAACGTCATAAAGACAAACAAGGTTGAAAGGTTTAGGAATTGTGATCAACTGTGATCAACATAATGACCAACCATGATTCCAGAAACATACTATCCAGATAGCAGTGTGTGTGTGTGTGTGTGCGCGCGCGCGCATGTGTAACTATATAGCGCTGGTACATAGTAGGCACTTAAATGTTTGTTTACTTACTGATCGAGAGCTATTTTATGTTTTGCTTTGTTTCATGGGCAGCCTTGGTCAAAGATTTCATGGCCCATCAGCCTTCATTCCTTCCTTGAGCTCTAAAGTTATCAATTATAAGTCATTTTTTAAACAAAAAAGCTTGTATCTAGGCAAATTTACAAGGGTGGTGGTGGGAAACAAAGCTTGGTTTTGCTAAAGGAGGCACAAATCTCAGAAAGTCTTTGGAGTCTCAGGCTTCCCACACAAACACTTAGACTATTATTCCCAGAGTTTAGATGAATTCCCCCCAGAGATCTCAGCATATACGATTGAGAAAAACAACTTCAAATTAAGATGGATGAAAGATATTCAAATGAAAGGTCCACTGTCCTCTACATGCACATGCCTTCCCTCCCTCCCTTCTTTGGTGTCCCAGATTATTTAAAGCAGTGGAATCTGTGGACGTGGTCCCACTCCAAATTCCCACCCTGGCTCTGACTTTTCTCCAGGTAAACTCATGCTCACTGCTGCCTCTTTCTGCTTCTCAGTCTTTAAATAAAGACCTCTACGAAATCAAAGCTCTTCTGCACAATTCTAAGGTTTATTTTGTTAAGGACCTGGACCCGGAAGGGTAGGAATTAGAACTGTGAAAGGATTAACCACAGGCAAACACTGCGTGCTGTCCTGAATGGGAGACTAACTTCTGAAAACTGAAGAGAAGCCCCGTCTTTCTGCCTTCCCCTCCCCCCACCAGCAACACACGTGTTGTGCCAGGGGTCACTCTGACCCAGTGCAGAGCAATTCTCAAATGCCAGTCTCTCCTCCCAATGGGACAAGTCAACCTGATCCTTAATTTATACAGCCAGGGGACAAAGAGGGAATTTTCCCCCTCCATATAATAATCCAGGTTAAAGTTTGTAAATTATTCATTTTCTGCAAATGGTTTATTTTTTAAAAAAGGATTTTTAAAAATATCTCTTGTTTCTAGTTTGCCTTCATCTCTCAGTATATTCTTCCTCCTCCTCTTCGAATCTCTCCTCCCCCTTTTGTGAATAAGGAAGAAAAGAGGAAAAAATATAGTTCAGGAAAATTAAGAATATATCAACAGTCTAATAGAGTACGCAGTGCTCTGCTCCCCAGCATTCCCCTTTCCCATCTCTTCAAGGAAGGAGTGAAGTGCCTTCCCATATCTATTTTTCAAGACAAGCTTGGTCACTATAATTACACACCAATCACTTTGTCACTGTAAAGACATAAATTTCCATTTATGTCATGATCATGTCTATAGTTTTCCTGTGTGTTTTGTTTTCATTTCTAAAAAGCATTGTTCTGTGTGCATGCCAAAGTGGCTCCTTCACTAAGGGTGATTCAGGTGTGAATTTCTGCCTGATTCCCCACCAAAGGCATCACTCGAGGAATTGAATTCCAGTTAAAAGTCACGCACATGTCCAAGTTTGCCTCCCATGCAATACGCCCCTGTACAGTAAAAGCATGCACACTGTAAGCTCCAATAAATTGCAAGCTCAAATATCAATTATGGAGCAACACGGGCATGACACAGGTCCCCCAGCCCCCATGCCCCACCTTCATGCCTCCCACCCCCACCCACACGCACAATGGGATTCTTGTTTGCTTCTGGAGCACGTGACAGGGTAGCCCCTGCTTTGCCTAGCTCAGGTCTCTCAGGTAACAGGTGGCAGGATCCCCAGTCAGTCTCTAGGTACAGAAAAGAATGACTTCATCGGGGTGGAGCTCCGGGATCCTGGAGAGGTGGCCGTCACAGCCGGGTAACCCAGAAGCAAAGTTGTCTAATCACAAGGGGCAGGTAAACTGGGAGCTTTTACCTTTGCTCCTCGGTGAATTGTCAAGCTATCTACTTCGGCAAGTTCCTGAGATTTACCTACATCTGGTGCAGATGGAAACCAAGGAAGCTTTCGGAAAAGAGAACATGGGGACCAAGAGAAAGAATTTGACCTTTCTGAGACAGAGACTCTACATGTTGGAGAGGAGGAAGACTGACACTGTGGTGGAGAGCAGCGCTGCTGTGGACCATGGTAACTCGGGCCCCTTGAGAAGGAGCCAGTCTGACAGAACGGAATACAACCAGAAACTGCAAGGTATGTGCCTGGAAAGGAGTAGATGCCTCCAAACCAGCTTGTTTCATTTCCAAGTCTGCCTCTGCTACTCTTCTGTTTTCAAATAAGGCAATGACTTGTAATTAGTAAGGTTTGAACCAGAGACACAGCACTGGGGTCAGAGGAACTGGGTTCCAATCCTGCTCTGTTGTCTACCCGTGTGACCTTAAGAAAGTCGTTCTGAGCTTTCTGGGGATCAGTTTCCTAATCTGTAAAGGAGTCTGTGGCCAAATCTGTTTGTTTTGTTTCCAAGTTTGTCTCTCCTTTGCTTCTATTTTCAAATAAGGCAACAACTTAAAAGTAGTAGGGATTGACTCAGGAGAAGCAGCATAGCAAAATACTTTACTTTTGGAAGCAGAGGACCTGCGTTCAAATCCTGTTCTCTCATCTGCTCATGTGTCCTTCGATAAGGCATTTGATCTCTCTAGGGCTCAGTTTCCTAATCTGTAAAATGACACGGTTGGACTATGCGGCCTTTAATGTCCTTCCAATTCCAAATCTATGATCCTATGAATTGAATTAGAAGCACGGAGGATTGCTCAGAATTCCAATGCATTTCTATAAAACGTTTAATGTCTACCTTCAAAAACTTAAACATAATTGTGGCTTGTAAATGGTAAGTGAAGTCACGGTCTCAATCTTATTAGGTAATTAATAAATCAATTTGGTGTCTTTTTATTATTACTGATACTTTTATGTGATTTTTCTCTTTTCTCCTCTTTATGAAGTGAGCAGTGTATTTCATTTTTTAAATGAAAAATCTTAGCCCCAAATCCCACAACCATACTATAGTGACTAGAACGCTAGATTTAGCATAAAAAAAGACTGCAGTTTGAATTCTGGCTCTGAAACTTATTAGCTGTTGAAGTGAAACAAATCACTTTCACCTCATCTTTTTTTAAGCTTCATTTTCCTCATCTCTAAAATGGGACTAGTAATACTCAGTATTTATAGCGCAGGATTTTGATATGGATCAATTAAGAAACATTTAAGAAGTGCCTACAATGTTTTGGGCACCTTACAAGGAAGGAGGATAAAAAAGATAAAATAAAACAGTCTCTGCCCTCAAGGAATTGAGGATCAAATGTCATGATGAGGATGGTGATGATGAGAACTCTTATATAGAGCTTTAAGGTTTGCAAAGTGCTTTACAAACATTATTTCACTTTATCCTCACGATGACTCTGGGAAGGTTGTTAGGTGTTGATTTTAGGGGATGATGATCCCCTTTAGTCAATAACAGGACAGATGAGGAGACTGAGGCACATAAAGGTTAAGTGACTTGGCTAGGATCACATAGCCAGTAAGTGTCTGATAAGATTTGCACTCATTATAAAGTGCTTTTTAAATGTCGGTTTCCTCCTCTTTTTTATTACCTAAATAGGTAAATGGGAGACACTTTGTTGTGACATCCATTTAGGCAATTGGACAAAAAAAGGATTGCTCTCATTATACCATACAGGAAAGTAGTGCCAGTCTTGTGGAAAATGTGAGATGTTTTAACTATCAGGTCAGCAAAATCCAGCTAGAATGTCATTCATTTATAGTGACTGAGAATGTCCAAATGCGGCATGCACCTTCAGCAGTCAAGATGGCATTATTTCTCTCTCTTCTGCCTCCGCCTCTTTTTTCAGCCTAAGCCTGAAGGTCCAATGACCCTCACTCCATAATAACAGCTCACTTACTAGCCATGTTTTACCAATTACAAGATACTTGTCAGGGGAGGTGTGTAGTATAAATACCACTATCCCCTCTGTACAGATGAGAAGCATCATGGAGTAGGGCATAAAGAGCTGGCCTTGGAGCCAGGAAGATCTGGGTTCAAGTCTTACCTCTGACATACTTACTGTGTGACATTGGGTAGGTTGGTGCCCAACTCTCAGTGCCCAGGCAACTTTCTAAGACTAGCAAATAGAAGAACTAAGAGAAGGTAGAGGAACCAAAGAAGTAGATAGAGCTCCCTCCTCTGGGAGTTGCCCCTACCAGTGAAATTGAAGGTACAGTCCCTTTCCTACAGAGGGGGAAACAAAGTCATAGCGTTGCTTTGATTGTTCAGTTGTGTCCAATTCTTTGTGACCCATTTAGAATTTTTTTGGCAAAGATACTGCAGTGGTTTGCCATTTCCTTCTCCAGCTCATTTTGACAGATAAGAAAACCGAGGCAAACAGAATGAAGTGACTTACGGTCACACAACTAGTAAGTGTCTGAAACCAGATCTGAACTCAAGAAGAAGAGTTTTCCTGACTCTTGGCCTGGCACTTTAACCACCTAGCTGCCTATATGGTAAATTTCTGAGTCAAGAGTCAAGTTTGGGCCTTCTGACATGATCTCTATGCCATGTCTCTTTTATCTGGTACATACTTGGTAGAATTTTAAGTATTTTATAGAATGTTAAATGACGTCACAGAACCTGCCTCTCCTGCCTTTCACACAATATATGTCTGAGCATCTCAAAAACCAAAGGGAGTCGTCTGTCCTGCACTGAACTCAGCCTCTGGTTCAGAAAAACCCTTTATGAATGTTTACATTTGCCATATCTCTTTCTCTGGTGAGCTTTCTGGGAACTGCTGTGCTATTGAAGTATTATGTCCTTAAAAGCAATTAAGCAACTGGGAAAATATAAAGGAAAGAGATTTACTGAAAGTATTCCTGACATCTCAGAATTGTGTTCAGAAAGAAAAGTCAAGTCTTACCTCTAAGGAAAAATGCAAAATGAGCCAGTTTATCATTATTGTTATTGTTATTACTGACTTTTTTGGTTTAATGTGCTGGTTACCCTCCTTTTTCTCTCTTTGTGAAATTAATAAAAAATTTATTTGAAATCTACAAAAAAAGAAGCAAAGTTTTTGTGTTTTTCTCTTCTGAAATGTATTTTATAGAGTAAGAATGGTGGTAACCAGACTGATCTGTTAATCCCAAATGTCTGAATCTTTATCCATTATTGACATAAATATGCCCCCTTAAAGAGTATTTAAAGACCACTGTCCTTTTGATAAAGTGGTCATCGATTAAAATTTGTAGATATTATATTTTATTGAAAACTGTGCTTGATTTGGGATCAGAAGGCCATCCGTTTCGGGTTCTTCTGGCCTTCTAGTTAGTCTCCCTACCTTAAATCTCTCCCCACTTCAGTGCACCGTCCACTCAATTGTCAAACTGACCTTTCTAAAGTTCAGGTCTGATCATGTCATCCCCTTTAGTCAATAAACCCCAGTGGCTTTCTATCACCTCCAGAATCGAATATAAAATCTCCTATTTGGCTTTTAAAATTCTTCATAACTTGGCTTCTGCCTCCCTTCCAGTCTCTCCCTTACTCCAATCTGTGCACTCTGCAATCCAGGGGCACCAGCTTCCTCGCTGTTCCTCATACCGGACAATCTATCTCCCATCTTCGTGCCTTGTCACTGGCTGTCCGCCATGCCTGCGGTGCTCCTCCTTGTCCTCCCTATCTCCTGGATTTCCTGACTTCCTCCAAATCCCTGCTAAAAATCCGACTGTCTGTAAGGAGCCTTTCCTGGTTCCCCTTAATGCTAGTGACTTCCTTCTTGGATCATCTCCAGTTTATCCTGGATGGATCATGTTTGTATGTTTGCTATTTGCCTGTTGTTTTCCTCACTGGACTGGATGCTCCTTGAGAAGAAGAGTTGTTTTTACCTTTCTTTGTATCCCCAGTGCTTAGACATTACTATGTGCCTGACACATAGTAGGAACTTAATAAATACTTATTGATTTGACGTATTACTTGTGTGACAGTGGGCAAGACACTAGAACTGAAAGATATCTCATAGGTTCCTTAGACCAACCCCCTCACTCTACAGATGCAGAAGCTAAGACCTAGGGAAGCTTATTGACTTGTTCCGAATCACACAGTCAGCATCAGAAGGGTTTGGACCCAGGTTCTCTGGCTCATCTATGTTCTTTCTATTGTCTCTCAGACTTGCTGTCTAGTAAACTCCTTTCAGCTGGATTAGTCAACCTCTAAGGTCCTTTCCAAATCTAAATCTCTATTCCTATGAAGCTACCCCATACCCCCAAGTGCCACATTTCTTCCTTCTGGGCTTGAATTGTGAATCAGTTTTGTCTCTCTTTCAGACTGTCCCCCAGCAAATAGAAACTGAACATTATATTTACTACCCATTACTAATATGGTTCTTGTATTGCTAAGAAGGATTTAAATAAAAGGAAGCTTCCTAACCACAAACAATTTCTGATAGTTTCCTATTTTGACCACGAGGAGCCTTTATCTATGATACTCTTCCACATCACTACAAGATTCTGCCTTGAGTGCAGAATGTAACAGCTGGGGAGGGGTCGATCTTTGCCAGGATCTTTACTTGCTCTTAGAAGGACCCATCTGAGAGTATAAGGTAAAGAGCAGATTCCATTAAAATATTTCACAATTAAGTTGGCTTCTTACAATCATAGCATGTCAAAGCAAAAAGGAATCTTAGAAATGCAATAGTTCAACCCTTTCGCTTTACAAATGAGGAAACAAAAGCCCAATGAGGAGATATGACTGGCCTAGGAGAAGTGACGTGCCACATTTGGACGATTTACTGATCATACAGACTTAACAAAGTGATGGAGAACTGTTAATAATACATACTTACTATGTGCCAGGCACTGTGCTAAGTGCTTTACGAAGATTTCAGTTGATCCGTACAACATCCTTGGGAAGTGGATGTGATTATTATTATCGCCATTTTATAGTTAGGGAAACTGAGGCAGAGATTAATTGACTTGTTCAAGGTCATACAGCTATTAAGTGTCTAAGGCTGAATTTGAACTCAGGTCTTGCTGACTTCAGGCCCAGAGCTCTATCTACTGCACCACCAGCTACCTTATAACACCTACTCTACCCTACTTGTGTCCCGGTCCCATTACCCTAGTATCTATTTTATTTCAGCACCTGGAGTTTGCCCCACAGTCTGCTACGGGAAGTGTCTAAAAATGAAACCACGGCA